ACTCACATAGTCACACAGAGGAAATTTCAAACCCGCCATCTTACCTGGAAGCCTCAAAAAAGTCCCCTTTCTAAAGGAAACATTTATGAGCTTTTGTTAGTAAATGTATATCAAGAAGAGACCAGGGGTTGGGGTATAGCTCTATGGTAGAGCAGGTGTTTAGCATGCTCAAGAGCCTGAGTTCAATCCTCTTGCTCAACACATGCACACATGAACCACAAAAAAGGCTGCTGTGAAACAACTGCTCACCTGCGAGATTTATCTACACAACCAGGTAACTCATTCACCAGGCCTTCTTTTCTGGTGATCTTCTCCACTCACATAGTCCACACAGAGGAAAACTTCAACCGCATCTTACTGGAAGCCAAAAAAGTCCCCTTTCAAAGGAAACATTTATGAGCTTTTGTTAGTAAACCTGTATATCAAGAAGAGACAGAGGGTTGGGCGTATAGCTCTATGTTAGACGCGGTTTTAGCATGCTCAAGAGGCCTGAGTTATCCTCTTGCTTCAACCACATTGCACACATGAACCACAAAAAAGGCTGCTGTGAAACAACTGCTCACCTGCGAGATTTATCTACACAACCAGGTAACTCATTCACCAGGCCTTCTTTCCCTTAAGCTCTTGGAATTCATCCCAGTCCCTAGCCAGAAGTGCCAAGCCTGTGCTCCTTTCTGTAGCTCAGGATACTATATGATTGGTTCCCCCTGCTAAACTGGGGATTGAAAATAAAGCCTAGATCTGTGCAGCACATGGATAGACTTGCCCCTCATTCCCCAAACAGTGAAGTATTTCAACTACTTACTTGTAATAACTAATAAAAGTGCTATGTAATCTAGGATTTAAAGTATGTCTAGGTTATATGTAAATACTATGCTTTTTTTTTTTTTTTTTGAGTTAGTCTTAAGTATGCAGCCCAGGCTGGCCTGGAACTCATGATCCCCTTGCCTCAACAAACTTCCCCAGAGTCAGACTGTAACATTCACAGGGGGTCCTGACACCAATCCCCCATCAATATGGAGGTTTGATTGTAATCTTCAATCATCTGGCCTCCTTTGTGTCTCATTTTTGTGGGACTTCTTTGTCTAGATATATAGTTGTAAATTCATAACCCAGCAAATGAGTATAGGCAGGTGGAAGGAAGCTATTTCCCCTTGTCCATGACTGCAGAGTTTCCTATTTGGTAGAGTGGGGCAAGGCTCATGAATACGCATTGTAATGATGCCTACATGGTACTGATGGTCTGTGGAGAACTGCCCTGAGCCCCGAGCTCATCACAGGAAGCAAAATGCTAGGATGCACCTGAGGAGATTGTTATAAGGATTTCAATATTTGTCCTCCTTCATTTGAGAACTACCTGTTCCGTTTATTTGTCCATTTGTTGATCGGATCATTTGTTCCATTGGGTATTTTTTGAACTCTTTATATATTCTGGATATCAATCCTTTAACCATTGAATAGGTAGCAATGATTTTCTCCCATCCTGAAGGCTGTGTCTTCATCCTAATAATTGCTGCCTTTTCTGTGCAGAAGCCTTTTAGCTTGATGCAATCCCATTTGTCAATTCTTTTTTTTTTAATTTTTATTTTTTGGCTGGGGGGTGGGGAGGTACTGGGGTTTGAACTCAGGGCCTTCATCTTGAGCTTCCCATCCTATTTTTATATTTTATCTTTATTCTATGTGCATACATTTTGGTCATTGTCCCCCTTCCCCTGCCCTACTTACCCCCTGCCCTCCCTCTTCCCCCGCTACCCCTCATACTGGCAGAACTATTTGCCCTCCTGAACTAACCTTTTCTCTAGTTCCTGGTCTCCTTCTCCTGTTGGCCTCAGTTGCTTTATAGTTTCTCTGCGTAGGGGCAACAAATGCTATCTAGTTTTTTAGGTGTCTTACCTATCCTCATACCTCCCTTGTGTGCTCTCGCTTTATCATGTAATTGAAGTCCAATCCCCTTGTTGTGTTTGCCCTTGATCTAATGTCCACATATGAGGGAGAACATACGATTTTTGGTCTTTTGGGCCAGGCTAACCTCACTCAGAATGATGTTCTCCAATTCCATCCATTTACCAGCGAATAATAATATTTCATTCTGCTTCATGGCTGCATAAAATTCCATTGTGTTCAGATACCACATTTTCTTGATCCATTCATCAGTAGTGGGGCATCTTGGCTGTTTTCATAACTTGGCTATTGTGAATAGTGCCGCAATAAACATGGGTGTGCAGGTGCCTCTGGAGTAACCTGTGTCACAGTCTTTTGGGTGTACCCCCAAGAGTGCTATTGCTGGATCAAATGGTAGATCAATGTTTAGTGTTTTAAGTAGCCTCCAAATTTTTTTCCAGAGTGGTTGTACTAGTTTACATTCCCACCAACAGTGTATGAGGGTTCCTTTTTCCCCACATCCTCGCCAACACCTGTTGTTCATGGTGTTGCCAATGATGGCTATTCTAACAGGGGTGAGGTGGAATCTTAGTGTGGTTTTAATTTGCATTTCCTTTATTGCTAGAGATGGTGAGCATTTTTTCATGTATTTTTTGGCCATTTGAATTTCTTCTTTGAGAAAGTTCTGTTTAGTTCACTTGCGTATTTCTTTATTGGTTTTTTAATTTTGGGAGAATTTAGTTTTTTGAGTTCCCTATATATTCTGGTTATCAGTCCTTTGATGTGTAGCTGGCAAATATTTTCTCACACTCTGTGGGTGGTCTCTTCAGTTTAGAGAGCATTTCTTTTGAGCAGAAGCTTTTTAGTTTTATGAAGTCCCATTTATCTATGCTATCTCTTAGTTGCTGAGCTGCTGGGGTTCCATTGAGAAAGTTCTTGCCTCTACCTATTAACTCCAGAGTATTTCCTACTCTTTCCTGTACCAACTTCAGAGTTTGGGGTCTGATATTAAGGTCCTTGATCCATTTTGAGTTAATATTGGTATAGTGCACCACCCCTACTTTTGTGAAGGGTTTTTCGAGATAGGGTCTTGAACTATTTGCCCAGACTGGCTTTGAACTGTGATCCTCCTGATCTCTGCTTCCTGAGTAGCTAGGATTGTAGTCGTGAGCCACCAGTGGCTGGCCCATTTGTCAGTTCTTGTAACTATTTCTTGAGCTTTCTTGGAGTCCTATTCAGAAAGTTGCCTGTGCCTATACCTTCAAGTATTTCCCATGTTTTCCTGTACTAGTTCTAGGTCTTAGAGTAAGGTCTCTTAAAAGCTTTTAAATTTTTTATACTTTGTACAAAGAGGGGACTAGAGATCTGGTTTCAGTCTTCTACATGTGAATATCCAGTTTTCCCAGAACTACTTGTTAAGAGGCTGTCAATGGAAAGGCCATAATGAAAGCCTTTCCTATGTACAGTTAATATATACCAATAAATTAAAAATATAAAAGGTACTTAAATAAGCAAATATAGAATAGTATTTTGAGAAAAACAGCTTGTTATAAGGATTTAATGTGATCTTTGGACTTATAATAGTTCCTAGCACACAGAAGATACAGATGTTAATTTGTCATTGTAGTTTCTTACAAGGCAGTGAAAATGATCCAAGGAGTTTAATGTGAAAATTACATGTTATCCTTTAGCTCATCTGATCAGGGGGTGTGTGTGTGTATGGCTAGGGATTGAAACCAGGGCTTTGTGTGTATGAGGCAAATGCTCTACCACTGAGCCACATCCTGGTCCCTAATTCTATCAGTTTTTTAAAAAATTGCACTGGGCTTTGAACTCAGGGACTCATGCTTGCTAGGCAGGCACTCTACCACTTGGGCCACTGTGTCAGCTGTTTTGTGTTGTTTTTTTCCTGAGGTAGGATCTCGTGACCTATTCGCCTGGCTATCTCTGAGCCATGATCCTTCTGATCTCTGCCTTCTGAGTTGCTAGGATTACAGGCGTGAGCCACTGGCGCTTGACTATACCTTGTTTTGTGTGCATTTGTATGTGTGTATCTGATTAGTGATTACATGGGTCTCTGAATCATGAGCCAGGTCAGTAGGTGACTTTCAGCATCAGATATCTTGATGTCTTTCCCATTTACAACCTCTCAAAGGCAGCCACTGTTTCAGGCACCACCATGGAGTTGTTTTGCTTATCATGAATGTCATACAAATTGAGTGAGTTGGTTCTTGTTGGTTTTTTTTTTTGTTTTGTTGGCTGTACTGGAGATTGAAACCAAGGTCTCACATATGCTAGGCAAGTGCTCTGTCACTGAGCCATATTACCAGCCCTTTTTGAAAAAGTTTTTTAAGTTTGAGAAAGGGTCTTACTATGTAACCCAGGCTGGCCTGGAATTTGAGATACTCTTGCCTCAGCCTCCTGAGTAGCGGGATTACAGGTGTGCACTACTATACCTAGCTAGAAGGCTCTTTTTGGTATTTTCTTTTACATATACAGTTTGGGGACATGAATAAGTGTTTAAATCCTCATCTTTTGTGGACATAAGCAGTAAATTTATTTCAGATGTGTTCTGGGGAAAGTGACAGTCATAGAGTAGATGTGTATGTTCTACTTTAGGAAGACAACCAACAGGTCTGGCAGTGCTGTTTTATCAATTTAACTCCTCCCACCAGCCTCTGAGAGATGGAGTTCTACCCCATATGAAACAGTGCAAGATGTCTTTAATCTTAACCAATCTGATTTTTTTTTATTTTCAGGGCTAGGGATGGAACACAGGACCTTGAACACAGCAAGCAAGTGCTCTATCACTGAGCTACTCCCTTATCCCCTGATTTTCCGTTTGTTTTTATGGCAGTACTGGGGTTTGAACTCAAGGCCTCATGCTTGCTAGGCAGGTGCTCTTACCACTTGAGCCACTCCACCATCCTGATTTTCTGTTTCTTGATTTGGGTTATATAATAATTCACCAGTGTTGGTGAGTTGGCAATAACTGCTCTGTTCTTGGCACAAGACGACTGCTCTGTTCTGTACCTAAGGATGCTGATTTGTGAATACTTTTCATTTCCTTTCCTAATTTCTCCTTAATCCTGAAACATAAGGTCTCGTCCTTGAGCACCATGACATCTCTGAAGTCCAAGTGTAACCTGAAGGGCCTTCTGGAGAAGCTGAACCATGATGAGTTAAAGTGCTTCAAATCTCTACTAAGACTCCGCTTGGAATCTGGGGAGTACCTGCAGGAGTTCCCATGGTATGAGGTGGAAGAGGCCAATGGCAAGAAACTGGCAGACATTCTGAACAGCAATTTCCCTGGCAGTAGCCTGAGAAATGTGACCCTGCACATCCTGGAGAAGATGGACCTCACAGAATTATCTCAAACCCTGGGTAAGTACGCTGGGCTTTTGTGATGGGCAGGAATCCCTGGGGTTTTGAGAAACAGCAGCAGGGCTCTGACTACAATTGGGAGTCTGTATGGGTAGGTGGTGAGGACCAGTCTCATTGCATCCTGCCTGATTCTAGTTCTGTCACCTCTGTCTACTCCCACCTCTTCTACCCTGGGTGTCCATCTGTTCTTAGTTAATTTAATGTGCATGATAGTTTTATATACATAATTAGTTTTTCCATTACCTCATTTTTGTATAATCAGCATTAAAACCCTTTTTGATTCAAATTAAGTTTAGACTTATAGAAAACTTGCAAAGCAGTACAGAGTTCCCATATACTTCTCATCAGCATGTGAACTTCATATATTTGTCAAAACTAAGAAATAAATATGGGTGTAATGTCATTAACCTTGAAGCTATTTGGATCTCACTAGTCTTTTGGTGGCACTGGGGTTTGAACACTTGCTAGGCAGGTGCTCTTACCACTTGAGCATTCTAATATCCCTTTTTTTGTGATAAGTTTTTTGAGAAAGGGTCTCTCAAACAATTTGCGTGGGATGGCTTTGAACTGCTATCCTTTTGATCTCTGCCTCTTGAGTAGCTGGGATTATAGGTGTGAACCACCGGTGCCTGGCTCACTAGTTTTAATAATAACTTGTTTGTTTTCAGACTCTAACTAGGACCCCATAGTGCATTTACAAGTTATGTCTTATGATGTAAGTGTGTGAATATTATAATTCTCTTCTTTCCACAAGCAGTATGTGTTTAATGCCCTTGAAAAATATCTTAGTGTTCAGATTCTGCTAATTAAATCAGCATTCTTTTGATACTTCCTTCCCCAATAGAAAAAAAAAACCTTCAATTTTATTACATCAATAGAAAAGTGTATCAGTTTAGTATCTCTTCCTCAGCAGAAGTTAAACTCCTGCAAAGAATTTAATAGTAAACATTTCAGACCTTGCAGACCATGTGGTCTGTCACAACTGTACAACCTTTTTTTTTTGGCAGCACTGGGGTTTGAACTCAAGGCCTCTTGCTTGCTAGTCAGGTGCTCTACTGCTTGAGCCACCACTCCACCAGCCCTGTTTTGTGTTAGGTATTTTCAAGATAGGGTCTCAAGAACTATTTACCTGGCTGACTTTGAAGCTAGATCCTCCTGATCTCTGCCTCCTGAGTAGCTAGGATTATAAATTGAGTCACTGGCTTCTGACTCTTCAATTAGTTTCTTATGGTTCTGGAAATTGAATCCAGGGCATTGCTCATGCTAGGCAAATGCTTCAACACAGAGCCATATCTTCAGCCCTGAATTATATGCTTTAAAACACAGTGTAAGTTAATTGTACAAAGGGTTTTCATTGTACTATTTCTATACATGTGTATAGTGTGCTTTTACCAAATTCGTCCCTTCTATTTCTCTTTCTTAACCTCACTCCCTCCTCCCTCCTTTTTCAACAGTTCTAGTGGGTTTTTTTTATCATGCTATTTGCATACATTATATTTTTATGGTTGAATAACACCCTATTGTGTATACGTACCACATTTTCTTTATCCATTCATGTGAAGTATATAACCTAAAGTACTAAATCTTTGATGTATTTTGCCGTAATAAAAATAGACTCAATATTTGAAGCCTTCTTATAATAGCACTTATTGTAGGAGGCAGAAAGCCCTATGAGTCAGCTCACATCTGTGTGTTTTGCAGAGGATGTTCAAGCACAAGTAATATATGAGCCAGTGCTGAGACACAAGGAAGAACGTTTGGAGATAGAGAAGCCAGGTGGGTGCTTTCTGTCCTATAGCATCCTATGGGTAAATCACAACTTCCTGGTTTTCCTCACTCCTAGCAATGTATAAGATGTGTTTTTCAGATGAGGATAGCTATCAGGAATCCAACTTTCTCTTACTGAATGCCTGTACAGGTCAAAAGGAGGGATGGAGAAACATAATAGAGAAATTGTCTTTGGTCTGGAAAAATAAATTTTGTCCAAGAGACAGTGACCATTTCCAAGACGTCACTCAGAGAAGCCAGAAATTGATACCATTTTTGAGTCCCCAAATGACCACAGAGCCAACGGCGCACACAGTAGTGTTGCATGGTCCTTCAGGCGTTGGGAAAACCACAGTGGCCAAAAGGTGTCTCCAGGACTGGACAGAGGGCAGTCAGGCCTACCGATGTGCCTTCTACCTTAGCTGCAGGGAGCTTAGCCACATGGCGCCCTGCTCGTTTGTGGAGCTCATCTCTAAGGACTGTCCTGAGTTGCAGGATGACATGGTGGACATCCTTGCACAAGCACAGGAACTCCTGTTCGTGGTGGATGGTTTTGATGAGCTGAGGGTTCCAGTGCAGGCACTGATCTGTGACATCTGTGGAGATACAAGTAAAGAGAAGCCAGTGCCCATCCTGTTGAGTAGTTTACTGAAGAGGAAAATAGTACCCAACGCCACACTGCTGGTCACCACAAGATCCCGGGCCCTGCAGGAGCTCATCCTGTTGGTAGAGCAGCCACTCTTCATAGGGATCCAGGGCTTCCTGGACCTGGACAGGCAGGCATTCTTCCGGAAATACTTTGGAGATGAGGACCAGGCACTGCAAGCTCTCGTGGCCATGAAGCGCAATGAGGCTCTGTACTCTATAAGTTCAGCTCCCGCCGTGTGCTGGGTAATTTGCACCTGTCTGAAGCTACAGATGGAGAGGGGGGAAGACCTTACCCTGACTTGCCAGATCACCACATCACTGTTCCTGCAGTTTCTCTGTTTCCAGTTCCAACCAGCACCTGATGACAGCCCTAGCAGTCACCTTTCAGCCCCACTGGAGGCCTTGTGTCTCCTGGCTGCCCAGTGCCTGTGGACACAGGTATCTGTGTTCTATGAAGAAGACCTCAAGAGACTTGGGGTGAAGGAGTCTGACCTCCATCCCTTCCTGGACAAGGGCATCCTCCAGAATGACAATGACTGTATGGACTGCTACTCCTTCATGCACCTCAGTGTCCAGCAACTTCTGGCTGCCATGTTTTACATTCTGAAGCGTGAGAAGAAGGAAATTCAGGACAGTTTTGAGCAGGATATTGAGGATGTGTGGAAGCTGTTTTCCAAGGAAGCAAGAGTGAAGAACCCCAACCTGGCCCAGGTGGGGCTCTTCTTATTTGGTCTCCTGAACAGGAAGAGAGCCCAGGAGGTGGAGACCACTTTTGGCTGCCAAACATCAATGGAGGTCAAACAGGAGTTACTGCAAGCCAAGCCTGGGGAGAATCAACCCTTCCTCCACTTGATGGATCTGAGGGAGGTTTTCTCCTGTCTCTATGAATCTCAGGAGGAGGAACTAGCAGAGGAAGCCATGGTCCCCTTTGAGGAAATGTCTCTGCAATTGAGAAATAATGCAGACCTAATGAACTCTTCATTCTGCCTCAAACACTGTCACAACTTGAGGAGAATCTCAGTGCAGGTGGCCAAGGGGGTGTTCCCGGAGGACAGTGCTGCTTTGGAGTCCTACCTGCGGGGTGAGAGGTGAGTACTCTGTTTCATTCTATGATTTCTCTGTCCTCATCTTCCTCCCATGTCCCATAGACACAAGGCTGGAGTCTCCCGTTGACTGTGGGTTAGGGTTAGAATTTCCTTTTGCTAGACTTCTTTCAATGTGGGAAATAAGATGCTGGGATTGGGGCAAGGACTTTGCAGTCAGACCTTGTTTCATGTACAGTTTTTAGCAGGCACTGGGTCCTAGTTGGGCCAAGATGCCTCTGATAGTTCCTGTGTCTTCTCTCCCTATTTATATTTGTTACATGTTTTTAATACTTATTTCTTTTCTTTTCTGAAGAGTCATGTTTTTAGCCAGTGTCACTGGCTAATGCCTGTAGTCCCAGCTACTTGGGAGGTAGATATAGGAGGATTATGGCTCAAGGCTAACCTAGGCAAAAAGTTATAGCAAGACCCTAACTCAAAGAATAAGCAGTGTGTGAGAGACAGGTAGGAGGATTAAGGTTTGAGGTTGGCCCTGGATTAAAAAGCAGGAATCATTATCTGAGAAACTAAAGAAAAAGGGCTACTGTAGTTTCTCTTCAAATCATGTAAATCTCCTTTTTAAAGAGAAAGGACTGAAAGAGTGGCTTAAGAGGTAGGGCACCTGCCTAGCAAGCTTAAGGCCCCAAGTTCAAATCCCAGTACTGCTAAAAATAAGTTGAAGTTTTAAACTTTAAAATAAAACAACATTGATTGTGGTGCTGGGTCTCCTGGGCAGGTCCTTGTTATCCCAGGCAAGTGTTCTACCAGAGTCACATCCCCATCATTTATTTTTAAGTGACAAATAATTATAGGTATTTATGGAGTAAAGGATTACATTTTGGTATGCTGATATGGAAAATGTTTCAATGAAGGTCAGTAATAAGCCTAAAAACTCATACACTGTTTTTTTTCTTTTTTCTTTTTGCGTTGTATATGGTAGGCAAGCGCTCTACCGCTGAACTATATCCCTGGCCTACTATTTTTATTTCTTGAGGGAGGGTCTCTCTATGTAGCCCAAGCTGGCCTTGAACTTGATTCTCCCGCCCAGCCTCCCCAGTACTGGGATTATAGCTATGATCCACTGTAACTGACCCTAGGCATTATACTTAAATAAGACACTGTCTTATACCCTCTGAAGTCAACATGTGTTCAAGTGATGCTTATTTAAGCTCTGTTCAAATATCACATAAACACATTGCTAAAAACTCTTCCCCAAACCAACATGCCTTTGAAGATTTAGGCTATTGAATGGTTAGCGCTATTCCCTTGAATAAATTGTTATGGGAAATGCTAAGAATCCCTCACAGTTGTTGGTCAAAGAATATGGTTTTGTTTACATAGGATGTAACATTTGTTTACATTGGATGTGTAGATCCTACACACTGTGTTACTTGTCATTTGGTGCTTTGGTCTGTTACTTCCTTATAGGTTTCAACCCAACAGAGGCTCTCTTTGCCGGTGGATGGATCTTTGCTCTGCCATCTGCTCCAACAAGAACTTGAGCCTTTTGGACATCAGCCAAAGCTTCCTTAGCAGCCCTTCGGTGAGGATTCTTTGTGACTATGTAAGCCGTGTCTCCTGCTGTCTGCAGAAAGTCGTGTAAGTAAAACAAGTCTTGCAATAGTGTGTCCTAGGCCTGGTAGTGTTTGAATATAGTAGCAGACTCAACAATGAACTTGGAATATGAAAAACTGCCATGGTTCCTTAACTTGTCTAGTGGGAGGACTGTCTTACATCAGAGGGTCATCATTAGGCAATTGGGCCAAGAGTTTGGATGTGTGCAAATGTCCACTGAGGGGGCGCATTTGCAGGTAAGCCTGTAGAAGAGGAGGACTATTTCCAGAGCAGGACTCACAGGTCACCACAGTATACAATAATCACTAGAACTTTTTTCTTTTGGAAAATTTGTATCCTTTGAATAACATCTGTCTCCCTCCATCCTCTGATAATCACCATTCTATCACTAAAAAACCAAGCTCAGAGAGAGTACAGCGGAGATTGGAAGGATAATGGTTTGAGGCCAATCTGGGCAGGATATTAATGAGGTCCCAGCTCAACCAATTAAGTTGTGTGTGGTGGTGTGTACCTGTAGTCCCAGCTACAGATAAGCCACCCCAAGCAAAAATCCCTATTTAAAAATAACTACAAAATGGGCTGGAGGTTGTGGCTCAAGCGGAAGAGTGCCTGTCTAGCAAATGCATGGTCCCATCAAAAAAAAAAAAAGTATATAAGTGAAATACAAGCCAGGTGCCGGTGGCTCACGCCTGTGATCTTAGCTTCTCAGGAGGCAGAGATCAGGAGGATTGTGGTTCAAAGCCAGCTTGGGGCAAATAGTTTGTGAGACCCTATCTTGAAAAAACCACAAAAAAGGACCAGTGGAGTGACTCAAAGTGTAGTCCTTGAGTTCAAACCCCAGT